GTGTGCATTAATGTGCATGATTCGAAATCATGCACATTTTATCCCATCTAAATTTTATATAGAAAAATTAAAGTATATTTAATTTAGGCCAAGGTGTATAATGCCAGGCAAAATTAAGAAATAGGAATGCAGAAGTTTTGAAAAATTCCGAAAAGAAAATGAATGAACATAAAGATGAGAAGGGAAAAAATTTTTGGCAAATATCCGATATTTTCCTGAGGGAAAATATAAAATCAAAAAAAATTATATCATGCGATATCATGCGTATTTTATATAACGTGCGCATTAATGCGCATTCAGACACATGTTATTATAAAATGCACATTTTTCCCATCTCTAATATCGATATAATAATATAATTTAAAGTAACTAGTAGTTTTTGTTGCACTATAAAAAAGAAATCTTTCATGAATCTGGTTGAATTCGCAGTGGATCAAATCCAGATCTGCATGATACAGATTCGATTCTAGCTTGGATTCGATTCGTACTTTGGGTCGAATCTGAATCTTTGGAAATATTCGCCAGATTCGATCCGTGTAGAACACTACCACCAACAACCCTGCCCATGCCACTATTTCGTGTATTTACGGTAAATATGTTAATGCAGACCAGATATTATATTAATGCCAGCCAGATGATGTGGTAATGCCGGCCAGATAATTTATTTGGGATCATATTAAAAATCCCGTGCGGGTGTGACAGTTGTAATATACCGGCACCCCAAAAATTGCAGCATTTCTTATTTTCGCTCTGCCTTATTATTAACTTCCTTCCTTAAAATTATTGGATGATCTTGTTTCCGATTGTCTTTCCATTGTCCCACCTTAATTCTATTTTTATCATTCGGCCCCTTACTATCTTATATCCGATCTCTGGACTAGATAAGTCTGTAATGCATGTAGGCAAATTGGTCCGACATACAAACAATAATAATAATCGACCTTCCTATTCTTTGTCGGTGATCTGAGCCTCGATCTCCGAGATGGATAATTTAAGTGTGACTCTTAATTCGGTCTTGGAAGTGTTGGAAAGTATGATTGGTGCTAGCTGTAAACAAAGATTAGTAATGCGATACGATAGAATAGATAGGCGTTATCTGTGTTGTATCATTAGACTTTCTAGTTAGCTGACATGTATATAAACTCCATGTATTCGCCCTCTTGTAAAGGCAGATTCTTTGCCTCGGGCTTTGTGTCTCAATGTTTTTGTTTGAGGATTTTGTCTTGAGTAGACAATGGTTCCTCATTGATTGATAATAAACGTATTGGCTGTTATGCTTCGTGCAGTTTTAGTTTAGTTCTTAGTTTTATTTATTTTATTAGTTTTCTTTTATTTTGACTTTACACATCATATTCTGTCCCGACATATTACACATTCGTTTACCTCCCTGAACTATCATGGCCCGACCCATCTGACGCTCTCCCAAATTTGGATGGTCACACGGGTTCTAAATAAATCCTGCGCATCACGTGCAGGCCATCTCTACTATGAAATAATTGTCGGTGAAATAATACGGACTCCCTTTTGCTGTGGGAGGCCCATATATAGATATCATGTAATTATTAATAATTTATAAAGTTTACTACTTTTATAGGAAAGATGTATTTTATTTAGTATATTCACTCTATACATAAGTTTTTTTAAACAGTAGCAAGACATAATAATCGAAATGTAATAGGTATTAAAATGTTTAAAAATAGAACTGCAAAATTTTATAATTAAAGAAACTTATATTTTAATCTAGTTACAAATCTCTTCGTATTTGATTTTACCGATTATTTATACAGAAAAATTTTTTCTCTATTGCTTACATTCAATTAACTTGCAGATTGGTCATGAAGAGCTCAGCCTCTTTAATAGTAAAATGTGTAGCTTGAATCCAGATTCATCAATATAATCATACTATTATTAATAATATTTAATCTATATTCCCTTCAGAATTGTAGAAAGAGCATTATAGCACAATTCTTTTTAATGTAAGCTCTACGTATAAAGTTTACATATATTGTAATAGTTTGATTGCTAATCTATAATAGATAACATCTAATTTTTGAAAGGCTTGATTACAAAATAAATATACGAACCTGCAAATAATTAATTTAAATCAGCAATTGTAGTCTATATTGTAAATCATCACTTCTTGGTTTAGAGAAAATTTTTATGATGCTTTTGACTATAGATGAAGCAAGTAGGAATTTTGGATTCAGCTTTACTAATTAGTCTGTATTTTATTATATAGCTGTCTCTAAACCTAATTTATTCTTTTCAAATATTTTATTGCATTTATGATTATAAGATTGTTAATCAAATAAGACAAATTATATATAACATAGATTTAAGCTTGATATAACAATAAAGAAAATATAATGTAGCAAAATTGAGGAATAGCAACTGTTTTTTTTAAAAAAATCATAGATGTACTTTTGTGGCTCATGACAGTAAATTCCATAGTGTTATGAATGCTTTGGAGAGTAACCTGAATTAATACAAAGTTTAACTCCAGCCATAGCTGTGAAATAAATTAACGAAGGTATATTATTTGATCAGAAGTCTTTTAAAATGCTTTTATTTATTAACTGAGATTATTGAGACTTTATATGTTTTAGAAATTTATAAGATATAGTCTTTAGGGGCTTCAAGCTACTATGTAAGGCTCCTACAGTCTAATCCAAAATAGAATATAAGATTGCTTAAAATCAGATATGTTACAAAATCTAATCAGATTAAAAAGCTATTAATGTTAACGTTAAGGATTGAATTCATATTATAAAATTCCCAAAAGTAAAATCGTCCCTAACATTTTTATTAATGTATCAAGTTTAAATAATTTGATTATTATATTTTTTTGCATTTTTTATACTTTTAATGCGATTTTGATTGGATTATATGCAATCTTATGATGAACAATACGTACGCACCTGGCTTTTAGACTCCAAAATGGGACATGCATGAACTGATAAAATTTTTAACTCATTAAAGTTTAAAATATAAAATTACTTTTGAGTAAATACTTACATTATTAATCATATTATTTTAATTAGTTATAGTCAAAAATTTTTTTAGATCAGTATATCATTGAAGAGATAAATTTATTTATATATTTTCTTTAAAATACAGTAAAAAAAAAGATTTAAAAATCGTAGTAATATGCGTTGTGAACTCAGCAAAATTTGACTGTCAATCGGTTTTGCAGTTCTATTGATATGACTTAACGTTTAATTTTAAAAAAGACCCGCACAGATCCAGTATTTTTGGGCGTTCTCAAGCACTTCCCTAAATAAATTCCAGAAAAAAAAAATCTAATGGTCAGTTGTCTTAATGGGTATGAAATTGGTATTTCACAAAGAGTACTCAAAATGAAATCGAGTAGAGGCTTTTTTTTTACTATTTCCCATAATATTAAAAGGGGTTTTTTTTTATAACTATATATATTGCAATATACTGGTATTTATAAATATTGAGATGATAATCAATAGTGGTTAACATAAAGGTCATAGATTATCTGATTAGGTAGAGTTGCACATGCGAGCAGCTTCGCCGTCCAGTTTCACATAATAATTGAATATAACGGGCAATGTGATAATATACCATAATAATTACTATGTTATTAAGTGATTTTATATTTATTCTTTTTAATGAAAACAATATCACCAAAAAAAAATGAAAACCCAATATCGATATGTGTTAAAATGGATGTGGACTCACTTGTTTACGTATTACATATGCAGCCAGTAGCAATTTTTCGAATTCATTGCTAAACTGGATCTGAATCAGGATTTGGATCCGAATTTACGGCTTTGAAGAATAGGTCTTATTTAATATAGTCTAAAATTCTTTTATTGGGTGTGAACAAATATCTCAAGTTTCATCACAATAGTGTTTGATAAGTTTGACAAGATAATTAATGGCTTGGAGTGTCTTTCCAAAAAAAAAAAAAATAGTGATGGGATCATGCTTTCTAATATTTTGAAATTCTGTTCAAAGTTGTTCATACAGTAGTTATATAATAACGAAATCTGAAATGTGGCAATATTTTACACAACCAGCACTAATTGTTACCATCGGTTTTGAGAGAGCATCATGAATGGTTACCTCAAGTAGTGTTCCGAGTTGATTAAAATTTTTCTAATCGATTAGTTGTCAACTTAGTTGTCAATTAATAGTCACATGTTTTCAATAAGTTTAATTGGCATAATAATTAATCACGTGTTTCTGTATCATTTTAAACCATTCTGATTGGCTAAAAAATTCTACATCTTAAATTTATTATGTAAATAATCAACCAGCGATTAGTTGATTAAAAAAATTTTCAATCGATTAGTTAACTAGCTGTCAACTAGTTGGTTTTTCAACTAACGATTTGGATCATTAACCTCAAGATTCTTACATTAATTTAGTATTCAGAATAAACGGACGAAAATATAGATAATTTATGGATAATGATAATCTCTTATTGAGAATAGGTCAAAGGGAATCCAACTTTTCTACTTTAACGTCGAGAACATTTATATACGATCATTGAATGATCTAGCAGAAGACATCATCCTCCCGTCGGACTAATGACTAATTTTAGGGATATCAATGAATATATTGGGAAACCTATATAGCCAGCTAACATCCTTAAAAGTCTAACACTAAATTACACTAATGTTACTAATTAATCGTAACACTGGTTCCAAATTATAAGCTAGAATAGCCTAATTTAAAATTTTGAATTTATAGATATTCTTAATATTTATATACTAAAATGAAATTAAAGAGTAAACGGGATTGATTATACTGTAACCTTACATTTAGTTCCTTGGGAAATTTTGCTGTAATGATTATAATTACTATCCAATTCCACAATATAATTAGATCCATCGTGCACATTGGTTTTTAGAGGGTTAATGGTTTGTTTGTAATTTTATTATTAAAAAAAAATGATTTACAAAAATAATATATAAATGTAAATATGTAATATGAAAGAATCAAAATTACATAAGTCAAATATGAAAATATCATTCATTAGACAACGTAGAGATTATCCTTTCAATGTCTGTACTTTCATTGTTTACGCGAACTGTATGAGCAGTTAAATCAGAGAGTGCATCGTTGATTTCGAGCACTATTTCAGCATGTTCGACGAATTTCGGCACGGCTTTGCCCTTAAAATTTCCTTCCGAATTTGCATTTATCTCTATATTGAAATGGGAAAGTACTGATCGCCATACAAATCTCCAATTGGCAGTAGGATTATCCTGATTATTATATTCGGTAAGCAAATATTTTAAGCTTTTTTCAAAATTTTTAGCGAGCTCCTTTGATTTTTGGTCAATTAGATATTTAGCAAGAAATGTTAAAGCACCAATCAATGCCTCAACAGTTGTGGTGATGGCGATTGCATTCTCATAACTGGGAGGTTGAGAGTTATCGAGATTATTTAAATTATTGGAACTCAAACTATTTCTATAATAAATAGAAAGGCTGTTTTGGTAAGCAGCAGATGCAATTACCAATACTAAAATAGCCAATATGCCGCTAAACCAATACAACCTTATCTTCAATTTTTCGCTCATCAGCGAATAATCCTTGATATGATAATTGATTTTATCAAGTCTTTCTTTGAACCCATCGCGAGTTAAAAAGCCATGGAGATCAAGGCACCATTCTGCTTTAAATTTTTTATCAGGATTAAAATCAAAAATACCACTTTTTATTTCTGCAAGAGGGATTATTAGTGTTTTCATTTTGTGTTAAGTGTCATATATTGACTCATGAAGAATAAATGATAATGGTTATATTTATAATTTATTTTCATTAAATGTTGAATTTGATAGGTTATAATCAGGGTTAGGGATGGGTTCGGTCGGTCACGGTCGGTCACGGTCAGTCATTACCGGTTATTAACGGTCAACCGGTTGGTTATATACGGTTATATGACCGGTCATAACCGATCGATTATTTAATCGATTATTTGGATTATTGCTCTGCAAACCCTTCTTCCACTTCTAATAAAGTTGTAGAGGAATAAATTTCGGCTAT